GTTTATGTGAAAGTTCTTTTCAAATAGAATTAAATTGGAAATGTGTGTACAAATATACATATAGCAAATATCGATAATAATAATATGCAGTCAATGGGCATTATCTCTCTTATTTAGAAATCAAAGTATTAAATGTATGCTCTGTTTATGGATAAAACTTCAAGTGATTCTAGTGTTTCTAGTTTGGATTGAGGTCATGTACCGTGTTCCCACGCGTGACCGAAGGTCCTAAGCTCGAATACGGCATGCGGGATCGTGGATGCGCACTGCTGAGGAGTTTTAGGCTAGGGACTAAACGGCTGTTCAACGATTCTAGTTTTAATTGAATATATATAGTCGGAGACGCACATGTTGAGCAGTTCTTTTAAATATATGTAAAACATGCGTTAGTATATTCAACGAACATAATCAAAGTTAAACTTTCATATAACACATTATTGATACTATTAATAAAGATGTTTTTTTATAAATGATTGACTACAGATACACCTTGTATAGCCCACTTACATTTATTTTATCCACTGATTAACAAAGCAATCATATCTATGGTGTTCACGAAGATCTTGGAAGTTTTGTTCCATTCTGAAGATTTTTCTAATTACAAGAATTTATATATTCATGTGATATAAATATAAAAAGCAGTTTCATTCTAAAATTATCAAATTTCTTTGGGGATTACAGTTTGTTCTTCTTTTAATTACAGTATGTCGCCACAGTCTAAAGCACGAAATGATCTTAGCTAGGACACCATTGGAGACTTGGAAGCATTGGATGGCCGTTTCTTCCTAGTGTAAGAATCTTTATTAGTGCCCATTCACGACCTCACCACAGGGAATCGAACCCAGTACCTTCAGTCTCGCACGCGAATGCTTAACCTCCCGAACAGTGAGCTAGCATCATAAGGTGTTCGAGTCCAACCTAAATTAATTCACGACATTTTGCAACCCTCATCTATTGGGTGAGATGGGTAACTGTTTCACACCCGATATGGATTGAACTCGATTGGTCATAGTTTCTTAATAGAACTCTAGATGCTACATATTGAAGCTAGTCACTAGTGAATATACGATTATTGTTAGTAAAAGGGATTTGTGGAGATCGTAATATTTTCACAGTTAAAATCACGAATCGATCTTTTCTAAACCACCATTAGAAACGTGGAAGTACTTGTAGGCCATGTTGCCCTAGTATGTGACTCCTCGGTAGTATTCCTATATTGGATGGATATTCGTATTAAGAAGGCAATTATGTATCTGATTTTTATTCCGGCCACCATACTTTTTTAGATGCAACTAAAAGCTTGAGTAAAATATATTATCTAATCTAAGCTGTAATTACTACTCTAGGTAACTTGAATTTAGACTGTTAAAACCGAGACAAGTGATACACTGTTAACTTCTGAAGCAATAAGTTTTTTGTTGAGGAGAATTAGAAAATTCTTCAAAAAACGCCAAAAAAGGCTCTGAAAACGCTGAGAAACACCTTATCCAATCAGCATTCAATAGAGGTTTTGCCAGAAACATCTAGAAAGTGAAAAGTCACATATCACACTTCTGACTAAATGATTATCTATACTGTTACTATGTTTAGTAGCGTTCCAGAATTTTCGGAAGCTAAAGGCCACCCAAAATACCATAAATACCCTAGATTTTCTGTACGTAAATGAATCTTTGGATTAAAGCATTTCTTTCATAATTCACACCTTTTCTCTTATGTTCGATTCTCTGTGTAGATTTAGCCTGGGGATTAATAGAAAAGTTTAGGAATTGAATCTAACGTTCAATTAGAAGACTTAACGTTTCTATGATTTTGAAAAGTCATAAAAATTTAAGTCTTGTTTTTTCATATCAATTTAGTTATTTTAATATGTCCACAAGATAAACAGACTAGATTAGCAAAATTGATGATAAACATTTTACTAAAATAATAATTTAGAAACTCTTATGTCATACATTAATAAACTTCAGTTTTATTTTACATCTTTTCATGAATTACGTAATGAGTCTAGTCAATATAGATTTTATTATAAAAATGTATCACTATCATGGAATATAGTTTAGTATTCATGGAAGAAGAACAAGAAGAAGAAGAAGAAGAGGAAGGAGAATACCTTCAAGATTTATAAAAATGAAATTTCCTAACAACATAATAAATTCTATGAAGATATAATTACATAATATTGATCGTTTCTTACATTGTAATCCATTGGAACATCCAAAAAAAGGGAACTGAGAAAAAAAGGAACAAGCAATGATTGATAAGTTATAAAATGATTCGTTTAGTTTGAATTTTTTTTGTTTTTTTTAAAAGGATATTCAAATCCTGTACAAAAAGTAGATCAGGATGTGCTTTGAAAAAAAAACGAACAATGAAACTTCTTCGAAACAATAGCAATAAGTTTAGATTATTTGATAGTTTTGATCCTAGAAAGAAAAGGATCACAATTACTTTGAAACATACATTATAAATCTTAAATCATCTTTTAATGAGTTTTGATTGTGTATTAATTATATTTAATTAACTTGTTCTCAGTTGTTTTGTTGTTCTTTTTTCGTCGGAAAATTTAACTCTTTTATTTGTAGTTATTAATCACATTTGAAAGATCATGTATGTACTTTGGTATCACTAAGGGATGTTTCTTTTTTTTCTTCTATGGAATAATTAAAGTGTATTTATTATTGGATGAATTGATTGTTTTGTCCATTTTTAGATATCTGTAAGGTAGTAACAAGAAATAAAGGCTAAATAATTTAAATATTATTTACGAATAAGATAGTGATTGAAAGTAGTCAACAGGGATTCCTGGACCTAAGTTTTGTGCTATTTGGCACTCGTCAGCAAGGTGTACCTGTAATCTTAAGGGAACTGATGCTCCCTGACGGGTTCGATGCCATGTCACCCAGCTTCACAGTCGAAGACGTTACCACTGAGCTTTCGGGGCCGTTACTGACCTTCTGTAAGACTGAGATGTATTTACAATTGATTGATCATTAAGTATGTTAGGTCCTTCTTAGTGCAGATCGAATCCTGTTAACCAAGCTGCAATGTGGCCACCAGTCTAGGTGACTCGATATTGCGTGCACTGTATTGAGATAAGATGGTGGTTAAAGGTAGTCAACAGGAAACCCTGGACCTAGGTTTTGTGCTTAGGTCTTATCTCAACATAGTGCACACAATGTAGTGTTACCTAGACTGGTGGGGCTACATTGCAACTTGGTTGATAGGATTCGGTCTGCACTGAGAAGGATATGACATACATGACATTGATCACCACCTAGTAATTATTATTATTATTACTATTTGCAAAATTCGAAAAAACCGAAAAATTCACATTTTACACAAAATTATCTCTGTTTTTGATTATAACTTCGCAAAATAGACAAATACACTTTGATAATTTAGTATGTTTGATACATATAGTTGTTAGGATTAATCTAACTTAAAGTAATGAATGGACATTGATATCGAGACACAGACTTGATCACATTTTTCCGGTTCATATTAATTTATGATGAAGATTACATAGCTTTTACAAGTTTGCATTTTTCCCTGTTTTAGAACTCACTAGTTCCATGTTATGTAGACTATATTTTCATGATATGAATGAACACAATATGAGTTTTACAAACGTCACAGAGATTACATCATAGGTACTTGATAATTCACTTGTTATAAAAATTTCAACCTTAAAATATAGACTTCAATTCGATTGTTTAATAGTCTATTAATTACTTACTTACGCCTGTTACTCTTAATGGAGCATAGGCCACCGACCAACATTCTCCAACCCACTCTGTCCTGGGTCCTTCTAGTTCTATCCAATTTTTGTTCATTCTTCTCATATCTGTCTCCACTTCTCGTCGCAATGTGTTCTTTGGTCTTCCTCTCCTCTTTTAGCCTTGAGGATTCCATATGAGGACTTGTCTTGTGACACAGTTGGATGCTTTCCTCAATATGTGTCCTATCCACTTCCAGCGCTTCTTCCCGATTTCTTCCTCCGCTGGATTCTGGTTGTTCTCTCCCATGGTAGGGTGTTGTGATAGTTTCTGGCCAACGGATCCGAAGTATTTTACGTAGACAACTGTTAATAAACACTTGTATCTTCTGGATGATGGCTTTCGTAGTTCTCCAGGTTTCTGCCCCATACAGCAGAACTGTCTTGACATTTGTATTGAAAATTCTGACTTTGGTGTCGGTTGACAGTTGTGTTGAGTTCCAGATGTTCTTCATTTGTAAATATGCTGCCCAAATATGTAAGGGTTTTTACATCTTCCAAATCTTCTCCGTCAATTGTGATTGGATTGGTGCATGCTGTGTTGTATCGGCGAATTTCGCTTTTCCCTTTGTGTATGTTGAAACCTACTGCTGCTGAGGCTGCTGCTACACTGGCCGTCTTCTCCTGCATTTGTTGTTGCGTCTGCGATAGAAGATCCAGATCATCTGCCAAGTCTAGATCGTCCAGCCGCATTCTAGCCGTCCTCTCAGATGTTGATTTAATAGTCTTTAAAGTTATATGATTCATAAACTACTCGAAAATCATTTTGTAATAAAGGTCAACAGTGACTTACTCTGTTTTAATTATCAGCCAATATTTATTATTCATAAAAATACTTTATGACTGAACATTCTCAGGAAATTGTTTTAATAATGCACATAAAATAAAAACTTATTGTATTTCTGAAGCACCAATTAAAATTTCAATAGTACAATAATGACAATATAGTGAGTAGTATGTATTATCCTAAATGAAATTAATTTATTCTAATTATAGTCGTATAGTTTCTAAGTTCAAAGATAGTTGATATTCTGATCTTAATTCATAAAATAATCCATAGAATTACACTCATTTGTATCATTAATATAACTTAATTATTCTCTTTTGAATGGTATCAATCTGTTTTGAATGTATTACTGGTTACCAAGACATTTTTGTACATAAATACATATATACATAGGCCGATAGATCAGACCGAACACCACTAACAACAACAACGAAAATGTCATGAAAGACATTGAGGATTAGATATCATTTTTGTAGTTTCTTGTTTCTGATTACATTTTTGAAATGTATGAATATAATTATCATTTTTTATAATTTCTGATCCAATTTTTGTCTTATCCATTATTTCTGTATTCAATAAAGATGAAATAGTAAATTTATTTAAATTCGAATTAGATTTTGTATTTAATTTAAAATCTGTTGAATGAATAGTTTGTTGATTGACTTCATGATCATGATCATATTGAAGTTGATCTATTGAACATTTTGAAGAAGTGAATTTTTCCATTGGTTTAGTTATAATTAATTGAGTTGAATCATTATTTGTTTGAATATTCCAAGTAGGTTCAGGTAAATTTGAATGTAATATTTTTGATGAATTTTCAATAGATTCAATCCAAGAGGCTATCATGAATGAAGATAGTTCAGCGATATTTGGATTCTATTGATAAAATATATCAATGAATAGGTCATAGTTAGTCAATAGTTCCATATACTGGTTAATAGAAAGTTCACTTAAAGTCGTTTAAAATAATGGTAATTAAAATACGAGTAATTGAGAAATAGTCAACAGTTCCCTCCCCTGAGAAAAACTATAGCTATTTAATAGAAACTGTTTCTGTAAGTTCCACTTGTAAAATTAGTATTATTTTCTTTTACAAAATATCTTTGATTGCCTAATGCACGGTTTCCAAATAATACAGTATTGTTCAGTGTTTGATTAGTACTGATTAGAAATACAAATGATAGACCTATTTTCCTACCAGTGATATTATATTTGACATTCAGTCTCTAAACTGACTTTTCGGTTACGTCAAACAATCTAATTTAGTATGTCCATTAAAGAGTTTAAGAATAAGTAACCAATGCATCTCTTAGGAAAAACAGGATGTTTAGGGTTATCGAATTATAAATAGTTTATACAAAAGAATGAATGGTGTCATTTTTCAAATAATATCCCTTTATTACAAATCCTGAGGTATAATTCATTATTATTCATGTGTATTATTTACATATATTTACTTCTCGTCACTATTTTGTATACTGATTGCAGCTATTCTCGAAAACTATCCTTGAAACTTAGTGACTGACATTAATCCATGTTAAAGAAATCCTTATATCAGAATGGGTTTTTTGGAGATTTAAGAAAATCCACTGATTCAAATTATGAGTCAAATGAAGCTAGACCACCACGGAAAACCTGGAAGCACTGGACGACCGTTTCATCCTACTATGGGACTCCTCAGCAGTGCGCACCCATGATCCCATACCCCGCGAGATTCGAACCTAGGACCTATCCTTATATAGACATATTGTTCAAGTTATTGCAAAATTCACTTAATTATATATTAAAAAACATAGCTTACCATTTGTATAATTCACAAAAACAGCCCTGAAAAAAGATATCCCAAGAAGGATTTATTTCTATTTAGCAACTCTGTATTCATTAGCTACTTTTTTAAATTCCATTATATCATGTTAGCCTTTCACAATAACTTCTTATTGTTTGCCTTACTTTAACTCTCAGAGATAGCACTTTTTGATCACTAACAAATGATAATGTACCTAATATTAGTTTACGAATGTGGATATAAATAAAAATACATAGTATCCTACAAATAAACTTACTGAATTATTTGACAAATGTGATGATGATGGTCTTAAGCATTTTAAACGTTCATTAACATTTAATAGATTAGACTGGTTTATTGAAGATATTTCCTCACTCGTATTATTCTTATTCTTATTACTGTTTGATGGATAATTCTTATTACTTGATTTTTCATCGATTATTCTTTCTGAAGATTCATCTGATATTATTTTGTTATATTCATTCATTACAATGTGTTCTTCAATATCAAATCGAATATTTTGATTTCCTTTATTTATTGAATTCATGAAATTAGTATGCAATATATCATCACCTACAGTAGTACAATTTAATTCATTGTTTAATCTAGGCATTATAAATTTATTTGAATTATCCATTGTATAACATGATGTTGGTAATTTTGTAGATGGTGATGATGATAATAATGATTGTGAAAATAGATTATAATTTAATGAAATAAAAGGCTTTATCAATTGTTTCAATTTTTCTATATCATAATTAGATGGTAAAACACATGGAGCATTTGAAAGAGATGGTAAAGAACAATTAGTTGATAGATGAGATATTGTTGAAATTGATGATAATGGTTGAATCATTGAAATTGATGATGTAACATTGGAGACAAATGTTTTTTATCGGATCTTGTTTTTAATTGATCTCCTAAATTGGAAATATCTAATGCATCAGAATAATTCTTCAATCCAATAAATGATAATCTTTCAAGAGGATTTGTACTGACAGATAAGTTATAATGATCATTTAAGTTTTCTGTAGAATTAGATAAAGAACAATGTGAATTGCCTTTTTGTAACCTTTTTGGTAAACGTTTATTTTTTTTGTTAGTAGTATTTTCTATCAATTCAGTAGTTGTATACAACTTTTTATCTTTTTTATTAAACAATCTTTTATTTCTTTTGTATGGTATATGATCAGAAAATGGTAAATTAATTGATGAAGAATAACTTTTCATAATCGGATTCGGTACTTGATTTATTTCAGAACTCGGATTAGTTAACCAATTGTTTGTATGTTGTATTAAATCATTGACCATTTCATTTGAATCTTTACCATTTAAAGAGTTAATTGTATTATTATCAGATGTAGATTTATATTTAGGTTTTGATTTACTAGATAGTTTATTTGATAAAATATCAGATGTATTTGTCATTGTTTCGTTATGTTGTTTTAATAGTTTATCAAATAAGATTTGTCTTTCTATATGAGACATTCCTTGTAATTCACCATGTCGTCGAACATTATGACGTTTAATTGTATCTAATTTTCTTTGTGTCATAATTTTGTGACATACAAGGCACATAACCTTAAAAATAAAGTTTAATGGTTTTTAGATTGTCATATATAACTCAAATTTAAACGAATAATTTTGGCGCTAAATATGTAAAAAGAAATATTAGATGTTAAATTATATTTAAAATAATTTCATCAATTCGAGTTTGAATAAATCATTTCAACAGTTAAGCTGATAATCTGGTTCGAGCTTTGTCAGGAGAGTAATTAAAATTAACAACAATAAATCAAACCGAAATTATTACTATATTAAACGCTTCTCTGATCTCGTTCAAATGTTTATTTATGATAAGGATATGAGGTATTCGATCTAAATTGTGTTCAAAATGTGCCATGTGAGGGAGTACGTGTGTGTGTGTGTGCTATCGTTATTCAAATCCATTAGCTAAATAAAAACTTTTAATTACGGCTGAACTTATATTCGAAATTCTGTATTTGCCATATAAGCAAAACCGCATTTTCTCAAACTGAGCTTGTCAAATATATACTGATAATTTAATAGTTGAATCCGTGAGTCATTTGAAGCTGGACCATCATGGAAAACCCGGAAGCACTGGACGGCCGTTTCGTCCCATTGTGAGACTCCTCATCAGTGTGCATCCACGATCCTGTCTCGCGCTAGATTACTAGAGCACTGGGCCGGTATCCAATGGTGATAAGACTTATTATTCAAATAAAAGGTTATATCTAATATAAATTATCAAATCCATTAAAAATATGTAATCACTACTCATACAATCGAATTATACTACTTTAGTTATCTTAACTTGTATGAATTCCTTAATAACTGAGTTCAGCTTTCTAATGGTTACAGTTTTAATATTAGTTCATTATTCTTTCTTCTTTAAATTCACTTGTTTGGTTCAATTAAAAATTAGTTTGATCAAGAAAAATAAACCTTCATAAATTACCTCACATAAATTACTATTTAATAGTACATATATAATGTATTCATCATCCTCAATTACTTATCATATATTTCCATTTATAAGCATGTCCATCATTTTAATTGTACCATACTTGTTACTAACACATATTTTAAGAAATAAATTGTATACATATTCAATATAAAGTACATTTATATGAATCACATAGGGTATTTTATAATGGTAGTTACAATTTTTAAAGATTAAATTTAGTTTTATTGATGACAAGTGTTTTTGTGCTTGTGTGTGTGTATGAGAGACAGAGTGTGTGTGTGTGTGTGAATGTGTGTGCATTATGATAGATCACCATACTCATAAAAGTGTAATATAAAGAATATTGTCAATCATAAATAATAAATAAATCGTTTAAGGAGGAAAAACAGAACAATAAAATTGTAATTGATACATAGTATAAATGACAGTTTAATCAAAATGAATTGAGACTAATACAAATGTGAGCTGTAGTATATAAACAGTATACCATATTTTTATAGCTAATATTGACATGTATGATTGTATATAGGAGATGTTTATTGGTATATTATACATACTATTACTGCTACTACTACTACTGCTACATTCTTTTGAGTATTCATTCATCTGTCTAGTTAATTAAGTTAGTTTTCTTCTCACTTTGTCTTCTTTTTTTGTTTTAAAAATATATTTGCATACATTTTAAAAATTACTACTGTCTCATTGTTGAACTGTACCATAATATATAGACGTATCCTCTGGTTTCTGTCTTGTTGATAAATACTTGTAATAATATTGATTCATTACTCTGTTGAAAAGTCACTAACTTGTCACATTTTTTTTGTCTTTTAAAAATGTATGCAGTTAGTTACAAACTTGAAATATTTCGGGAGAACTTATGTACACGGTATGTTTAGATTGTCCAAATCACTGTCAAGTACAGCATAATATGAATCCTTCAACCATTCAGTAATATTTAATAAAATATATATTACAAACTATTCTAATCTTCAAACATTTAATCATCTGACCATCTACATTAGAATGACAAAATTAACAGTAAAAATGACTGGAATATAATTTATGTGATGCTATAGACCTCTTTAAGTGAAGTCTCCTATTGATTAAATGGAATAAATTTAATCACTAGGAGTATTGAATTATTTAAAAGAAACTGCTTACTTCACTTAAAATGCACATATTATTAGTTGATCTATTTTATTTATGGATATTTTATTAAATTGATCGAATGCTTACAGGATTTTCGAAGCCAGAATAATGATTTAACTGGTATGTCTAAATGTATAAGATAGAATCGATCATATTGCTATAAGAATGTCATACCCTAAATTTTATGAAATACTGCTACATTTATAGTTAGCTTTAAGCGTTTGCAAAATAAGTTATCTTACTTCTTTATAAATTAAAACTTAATATGGATAACTGACCTCATAACGTCCATATGGTATAACAAGCCATAAATGTTTCCATTCTTCACGAAATCTTCGTCTACGATCTTTCTCACGCCAAGTTAAATATTTATAAGCTCCTGTGGAGATTGTATTCATTTTCGTATCATTATTATCATTATCATTACTAACATTGATTTCATTGTGGTTATCATTAAATAGAATATTTTGGTCATCTGACTGGACAGTTTTACTTAATTTTATGGTATCCATGGAATTTTTATCATACCCTTTAAAATCTGTATTATTATTATTATTATTATTATTATTATGCGTTTTCCATCCGATTGTAGAAACAATAGTCCTATTTAAAGCTGATGTATCTTTAAGTAAATTATCGGTGTATAATTGTTTAGTCGTTGAAAATTGACTAGTGCTATTATTTTGGTTACTGTGATCAATAATGAAACTATTTTGGCCGGTATCATTGTTATAATCTACTCTCATATACTTCTTAGAATGTTTAGTAGATGAATTTGAAAGATTTTTGGAATATCTACGTTTCAATATAAGTTTTTCATTCATTTTAGGACTTTTGATCTCATTTTTTATTGAGTTCGAATTGTATTCAATTGAACAAGTAGATGGTGATGTGTTGTATATGTTATTATTTTCATTTGAATATTGAATTAAATTATGATTAGAATTAGAATCAGTTAAAAAAGATGATTTGATTATTGGTAATACTGATTTTTCTTTTTTATTGATTAAAGAATTTATAGAATAGTCTAATGGATTTCCAGTATTCATATTTGGCAAAGTTTCTTTGTCATAGTTTATACATTTAATGGAATGAAATCTATTTGATTCTGTTAGTGAATTCAATTCATTTGTATATAAATTGGATTTTGTATATGTAATGTCATGGCTATTGATATTACTATTCCAGTTAACAGATGGATAAGAATTTGGTAATTTAATGACTTCGTAATTACTGAACAATGAACAATTGTCATTAGTTATTCTGGTTAATTTTTCAGTCTCATTAGATAATGAGGTTGATAAATTATAAGTTTCATTATTAAACGACATTGTAAATGTACGAAATATGATGAAGTACTATTTCATAATGATTTTAATTGTTTCTTATTCAAATGATGCTTCTAGAAATGGATGAAAAAACAACACAAAATACACATTGTGATCCACTGATTAACAAACCATGAATAAAACCATGGTTTATAGATGAATAAACCTAGCTCAATGATTATAATGATAAATAGTATATCACTTTGTTGTATTGCCTAACATATTGGTGATTGAAAACACATATCGATTACACTGATTTCAATACCGATAGTCGTTAGTAGTGAAGGACCAGTCACTATGATTCATTAAAATGTTATTTTCTGTTCAGTCAATTTGACATCTTGAGATGTAGCATTAATCAGTAGGTAGTCAACTTTATTAGTGAGCAAATATTTAGTAACACTTTAAGATGTCTAATAAAAAGTGCACAAGGGATTTACAGAAGACAGTCGTTTTTGGTTGCTAAACAACATTTTAAATTACAATAATTGATCTGTAATTTACAGCAGTAGTTCTCAAAACAAGTTAACCGAATATTATTACTAATATTAGGTTTTAAGTAGTATAACGTATTACTATTATAGTATGTGTAGTTAATTCATAAGTCGGATTTGATTTCAATAATTTCTACTGATTTATTTCAAACATTCATTTGGTAGGATGTTCTTTTTTCAAGATTTATAATTCCCTAATGTTTGGAATTGAACTTATATTGGATTACGGATGATTAGCACATCATATTGTTGCAATGTTAATTAATAATTCAGTAATATTGTACGTTCGATAAATGGAAATTCCCGTTTCAACTACTGGTTTTGTTATGATTTTCTTCATGACTACAACATTTGAGTTAAATATTGTTTAAACTAGTTTCATTGATACCATGCATTGTATTATTTCATTTTGAACTGTGCCTGATAGTGAGAAAGACGGATCAAAGACATCTGTCACACTTCTACTTGAATCAATATATAATCATGAAAGGCTCAAAGGAAACATGATATACAAACATAAGATCTGGAATAAGATTTAATAATATGAAGCAATTCGTTAATCAACAGACATAATCTGCAAAGTTCATTTCTTCTTATTCATTTTGACATGTTGATAATTCCATAAAATAAAATGAAGTTATGCTTTGAACTGTCATGAATCATATTTCTAGAATAATAGTTATATTCTAAGGTTAATACTCATAAATGTCGTGTTATGCTTTAGGTGATTACATTTCTATCAACGACTGACATCTTTCTGTCATTACGAATGACTATCTTGAAGTAAGGCTTTATTAGTGAGAAAGATTTTTTGATTATTATTGATTTCACAATTGAGGTATTTTTCATCTCTATATTTGACTGTTTAATTGATAACTCTAAATATATCTTGTAACTAATACGTTGATAAAGTCAGTTTAATTTTAAAATCCCTGTCTAAATGAATTGTCTCCATCCAACAAGTTACTGGTGACAAATTGTATCCCGTTAAATTGTTTTTTGGAAATCTGATTGACAACTAATGTATATGAAACATAGAAAATTCATTCAAATATAGTTTTAATAAATTTTCGGATTCATATAAATCTTCGTTTATAATAAGTAGTTTCTTTCTTTTCTTGTATCTAGGCTCATTAATTTGACAGGGTCATTAGGAATATAGTCAAACTAGTATTGTTCTATCACAACACTAATCGAAACTTTTAAAATTATATTGTGAAATCAAGAGGAAATGGATAACATTGACTTGATAGAGAATTTTCTTCATACAACAAAAGGTCTGTATAGTCATTTTCGAGTTATTATGATTGATATATTTAATTATTGAAAATAATATTAAGTACTTTATAAGTTGTCAATCTAACAAATACATTCATTCATTTTTAAACTTACAAACTACAGAAAATATTGACCGAATTACATAGAATAATAATTCAATATAAATTAGATATTTCATACTGGGCATTATGTAATTGAGCGTGTCGACCGCCTCACTTATCTTGGGAGTCTGGTGTGTGACCAAATCTCAGCACGGATAGAGAAGGCTCGCTCAGCTTTTGCCAACTTGTGTCATTTATGGCGTAGACGAGATATCAGTCTACCAACCAAACGACGGGTTTACTGCGCAGCAGTTCGTTCCGTCCTACTTTATGGCAGTGAAAAATGATCGGTAAGGATAGAGGATATTCGTAGATTACTAGTATTTGATCATAGGTGTCTTCGAAACATTGATCGTATATCGTGGGACCACCGAGTAAGTAATACAGTTGTTAGGAAACGGGTACTATGTGAGGATGGCAAATCCATTGATGACGTAGTGAAACTTTATCAGTTGAGATGGTTAGAACATATGTTACATATGCCCAACCACCGACTGCTCCGACGAGCGATGTTTTATGGTGTAGGAGTATGTTGGAAGAAAGCTAGGGTCGGCCGGACCAAAACATGACACAAATCCATGAAGTCACTAACAAGTGGACTGAGTCATGTTGGTAAGTGTAGACTACCTGGTTGGGGACCGCGAGATGATAGCAACCGATGGTTAGACACTTTGAATAACATGGCTCAAAATCATTTACAATGACGCAGGTGAATCCAGTTTTTGTGTTCTCCCACATTCTAATCTCCTAAATTCTTCATGTTCTTTTTTCTTTCCAAATTTATTCCACTGGATTAAACTCCTTGAATAACATTTTCGAACCCTAATGTATCCGATCACTGCTTATACTCTTACTACCTGTACTATTACGGGATTTGAATGGACAATAGTATCTGTGTGCTAATGTGTTATGGCAACTTGAACTGATGTACGTAAGTAAGTACGAACTTCTACGTTGTTGCTGACTGACTGACTGATTTTAACTGTCAAGCAATTGAATTCGGTTTTATTTTAATAAAATGACTTCTAAATCCGAAACGTTATGAACTTCACAAAATTATCATTATCAGTAACATTGAATAAATGAATCTTGACTATAAATATCAATACAAATAATGTATACTATTAGTAAATTCATATACATACCAAGATATTACATGCCAACAGATGCATACAATTGTAGTTAACTTACAAAAGAATAAATATAGTGTTTTTATTTAGTTATTCTTACGTGTATAATACATTTGTAATGGATTTTCATTTTATATGTGTTCACTCGAAATTCTTTTAATTAATTCATTGTTGATACTAACTCTGTGCAAATATTTTTACTCAATCATTTAATTACTAACGACATAATTGATTTATTAACAGACTAGACAATCTGGTGCCAAATCAATAAATATACATTTACCAAATATATCGAAACATAAAATACTTGAATACATATGAGGTTAGTTATATACAAAGGTGAAAAAGGGTATGCAATACTTTGGAGATTTTGTGCACTTTATTAAATGTAAGTGTTAAAAGAGTCTTGATAAAGTAAACAGAAGCAAAAGAAAACACTTTGTTGTTTTAATACTAAATCATGAAGATGTAATTCAGTTGCAAATAAATATTTTTTAAAGATGGTTACTGCCACAATCTGATATCATATGTGGAAACACTGGACACCAGATATTTGTATCATTTTAATATAGAATCTCTCAGTAGTATACATTCAGGATACCATTAAGGTTTTAAACTCTGAAACATACATGGTGAATGTGATATTATGCAACAGATCACATGATATTCTTCAGTCGATTAGTGATAAAAAGTGACAACGGTTTCTATCTTAATATGATTGAACTTCATTAACTCTGGCATGTAAAAATTTCACTTATCCATCTTATAGTTGCTTATGAGTAAACATATATAGTCAGTTGTTTAAAACTAATGTAACTACTTCTCAATAGAATAGAAAGTTGGTGTCAGTTTGTATTGAATACCATCCTTAATTTAAGTCAATCACAACAGTCTATTCAATTTTAAAAAATTTTCTACTTCCGTTTAGTTTACTTTCACTCTGTGTAATTATCAAAGGGGAAACTGACCTATTTTATTTACTAACATGTATATATACACTTACTAAGTAATTTATGTTATTATCATTCAGAAGTATATTTTAACAACTACAAATATTGGTCCATAACAAAATATATTTGCTATTATGATTTGTACAAATATTAAGTATGATATTTCAAATAAGAATACTATGGAAACTAATTCTGGATAATGACAATAAGACAATTGGAGAAAATGAATATTCTAAATCCTTCTTTGAGATTATGAATCGATAACTATTAGACCGATATTGAAAATCTGAAAGCGTTGGAAGGCCATTACAAGATTTAATGCTTCAATTACAAAATACATATCATTGCAAAAATATTTAGGAATAATTTCTATATTGTGAAAACTGTTTTCTCATTACATATAGATGTTAAGTCATATCCCTATAGAGGGTTAGTATTATTACTTTTTATGTTGATTTCAATGTAATGGTGTCTCATTCCACCAAAAAAATGTACGGATGTATGAAATGTATGAATCACTAAAATACCTTCATTTCAGTTTTAGAGTATTTAGTATTACAATAGACTTTAAGTCAATAAATATAACTAGTTAGGTAAAACTATTTCAGAATATCAAGACCTATGACCGTATTTAGTAACGAACGGATCTAGGCAGATCACCCAAGCAACCTCTGATTATTGAAGATGATTGATACTTTACATTGAATTTAGGTAAATCATTCAAAAAAACGACCAGTCCCCTATTCTACTTTCAATAGCAATCTTTACTTTTTCTTAACCCTTAACTTCATATTCAGAATGAATCATTTAATTGAACATTTCTAAGTTTTGACTAACATCTTGGTTATAATTACCATTAGTTTTACTTACGGGGTAAGAAATACAATCTAGCATTGTAAAATAACCGAAAATTTCGGTGTAAATACTTTACAATCATCTTCAAACTGATAATTTATTGAGTTTTATTTTAGAGAAGAAAAATACAGCATAGTGTATTAGGGAGAATGATAAGTTTAGCTTTTATTTAGAATAGATTAAATAGGTCTTTTCACCTGTTGAAACTAATTTGAACATTACCAGTATTCAAACACAGTTAATACTTTTTTTCCGATTAACCTGGT